AGACAGAGAACACGCCCCCTACAGGTGAGACACAAAGAACACGCCCCCTACAGGTGAGACAGAGAACACGCCCCCTACATGCCCCACACACACTCACACACACACACAATCTGTCTCTTTGTTTTTTCTCTCTTTTCTCTTTCTATGGAGTAAGAAGCTTTCAAAAATGTTCGTGTGCATAGAACAGAAATCGGTGCATATTTGTCTGTAGTTGAGCATAAAATAAATATTCGTAAACTCTCCAATGAGTCCAGTCGTACATAAAATATATCGTGTGTATTTTATCATCAGAACACGAACTGAAAAGTTACGACGTCAAGAATTACAATCACCAAATGAAAATGTACGATTAAACTTTCATCAAACGGGATTTTACTGTCAAAAACACGTCATCACTTCACAGACTTTATTTATGGAGCAGAAGAAACATGGATCCAGATCAAGACTGAGCAGGTTTAAGTTTGTATCAGAGTAAAAACAGAATAATGACACAACAAGGAGCGACAACGGAACAACAACAAGTGGATTCAGTCAAATTTAGTGTAAAAATGTTTTGTCTTGTCACGTTGGATTCAGGAACCGAACGCTGCTGTGTGATACTGTGTAGAAACACCTCGTCTGAACGAGAAACTGCACCGACATCTTAGTAGAAACAGAGTGGAGCCAGTTGAACATCAGACGTAACATTATTCCAGGATTAATTATCAAATATCAATGTTCTCTGTGTGTTTAGATTAAAACATTCACAACTACAGCCACAGCGAGCATCAGTCTGAACCTTCATCTCAGCTGCATTTCTCACATCAAATGGGACCAAAAGTTCCTACAGACGTCACAGCCAATGAAATGTTCCACATGACACTTTAATGCAGCTTCAGCATCAGTTAATGTTGGTGTTTACAGACGACACGGTGAGTTTAACGTCACCGTGTCGTGTCCTGGATGGATTTGTTAGTTCATTATAATTCATATTTAACCCAGTGTTTGTAACCAGGACAGTTTGTTGGTGTTTGGTGTAAACTGGAACATTTCAGCGTCGTGAGGAACTTTTGGTCCCATTTGATGTGAGAAATGCAGCTGAGATGAAGGTTCAGACTGATGCTCGCTGTGGCTGTAGTTGTGAATGTTTTAATCTAAACCAGGGGTGGGCAACCTTTTAATCCGGCCCGTCGAACTTGAATAAATGACAATAATAAACCTTGTTGATGTTTTATTTTTCCTGCATTTCCGGCGTTTCCCACTAGATGGCGCACTATATAAATATATATATATATATATATATATATATATATATATACTATATATATATATATATATATATATATATATATATATATATATATATATATACATTGAGGTGCGGCGTATTATGTTGGCCTCAATGCTTTAAGTAGTTTCGGGCATCGTATTCGGACCATGAGTGAGGTAGAAGTGTTCAAGACATAAGCCTGCACTGTTTCCATAAGGTTTGGGTTAAAAACAAAGTTAGTTTTCTTTAACACGCTGTGTTCATTGTTTTAAGAATCTAATTTGGCTGGCTGCTGAACACGTGCAATCTTTTTTTTCTCACCGAAATGTAAGTGTGCAGGACGTACTTACCTGTGGTGTGCGTAGAGAAGCAGACCTCAATCATTTTTCATGCGATCTGAAATTTACGCGTCCAATAGTTGCGCGTTGTGCAGAATACGTCTTTCATGAGCGTAAATACGAGTGCAATGGAGCCGGGTTCTTAACACATCATGTCCTGTCTCCTGTCCGGCCCTTCAGTCAAATTTTACAACCCTATGTGGCCCCCGAGCCAAAAAGTTTGCCCACCATTGATCTAAACACACAGAAAACGCTGATATTTGATATTTGTCCCTGGAATAATGTTACGTCTGATGTTCAACTGGCTCCACTCTGTTTCTACTAAGATGTCGGTGCAGTTTCTCGTTCAGACGAGGTGTTTCTACACAGTATCACACAGCAGCGTTCGGTTCCTGAATCCAACGTGACAAGACAAAACATTTTTACACTAAATTTGACTGAATCCACTTGTTGTTGTTCCGTTGTCGCTCCTTGTTGTGTCATTATTCTGTTTTTACTCTGATACAAACTTAAACCTGCTCAGTCTTGATCTGGATCCATGTTTCTTCTGCTCCATAAATAAAGTCTGTGAAGTGATGACGTGTTTTTGACAGTAAAATCCCGTTTGATGAAAGTTTAATCGTACATTTTCATTTGGTGATTGTAATTCTTGACGTCGTAACTTTTCAGTTCGTGTTCTGATGATAAAATACACACGATATATTTTATGTACGACTGGACTCATTGGAGAGTTTACGAATATTTATTTTATGCTCAACTACAGACAAATATGCACCGATTTCTGTTCTATGCACACGAACATTTTTGAAAGCTTCTTACTCCATGTCTTTCTGTCTTCTCTTCCTCGTCTTCTTCCTCAGCTCGTCTTCCTCCGATCCGTGTGGAGGAGTCTTCGTTCTGTCAGGACCTGCAGTGGTTACTCGAGCGCGGCGTTCAGTTCGCCGACGTGGCGTTTTTCAGCTCGGACTCGGGTCAGGAGCTCGGCTGGGGTCACGCCGCCGTCCTGTGTGCGGCCAGCCCCTACTTCAGGTCGCTCCTGCTGGGACCCAAGACCAGGTCTGGACCCGAGACCGGACCGGGACCGGACCAGAGACCCGACACTAAACCAGAGACCAGAGACCAGAGCAGAAACCAGACCAGAGACCGAGACAGACAGACCGACCAGAGAGACCAGAGATCCGAGACTAAACCAGAGACCAGAGACCAGAGAGACCAGACCAGAGACCCGAGACTAAACCACAGACCAGACCAGAGACCAGACCAGAGACCAGGATTAGACCAAGATTAGACCAGGATTACACCAGGACAGAAGTTGGATTGATCCAAGACCAAATCAGGACTAAACCAAGACTAGATGAGTCCACGGTCTAGACCAGATCCACAAACAGACAGTCCTAGACCAGGACCAGGACGGGTCTGTGGTTGGGTCTGGGCTCAGGCCTGTGGGCGCACGTGGGCAGCCACGCCGTGCCGTCTGCCCCGGGGCGGCTGTGACTCTCTCTCCTCTCACAGGGAACGGCCTCAGTCTCGATGCGTGTGCAGAGACTCCGCCCCCCACGCCCTCCGAGACCCCGCCCCCCACGCGCTCCGAGACCCCGCCCCACGCGCTGCTCCGAGACCCCGCCCCCCACTCGCTGATGTCGTGCGAGGCCGCCATCGTGGAGGACACGCCCCCTCGGCAGACGGACGCGCTCCTGAGCTCCGCCCGCCTCTCCAGACTCGTGGTCAAAGACCCTCTGCTCTGCATGTGTCTGTGGGAGACGCTCATGTTCATCTACAGAGGTAAACAGGACTAGACCGGGTCTAAACCGGGTCTAAACCGGGACTAGACCGGGACTAGACCGGACTAGACCAGGACTAGACCAGGACTAGACCAGGACTAAACCAGACCCTCTGCTCTGCATGTGTCTGTGGGAGACGCTCATGTTCATCTACAGAGGTAAACAGGACTAGACCGGGTCTAAACCGGGTCTAAACCGGGTCTAGACCAGGACTAGACCAGGACTAGACCAGGACTAGACCAGGACTAGACCAGGACTAGACCAGGACTAAACCAGGACTAAACCAGACCCTCTGCTCTGCATGTGTCTGTGGGAGACGCTCATGTTCATCTACAGAGGTAAACAGGACTAGACCGGGTCTAGACCGGGTCTAGACCGGGTCTAGACCGGGACTAGACCAGGACTAGACCGGGACTAACCGGGACTAGACCAGGACTAGACCAGGACTAGACCAGGACTAAACCAGACCCTCTGCTCTGCATGTGTCTGTGGGAGACGCTCATGTTCATCTACAGAGGTAAACAGGACTAGACCGGGTCTAGACTGGGTCTAGACCGGTCTAGACCGGGACTAGACCGGGACTAGACCAGGACTAAGGAGAGTGAGAAGAAAATCACTCCAGAGACAAAATGAGAGTGAGAAAAAAAAAAACAAGAGACGAGCTGAATATGAATCAGAATTATGACTCCAGGGAGAGATGGAGAGATGGAGGGATGGAGGGATGGAGAGATGGAGATGGAGGATGAGGGATGGAGGATGAGAGATGGAGAGATGGAGAGATGGAGGGATGGAGGGATGGAGGGATGGAGGATGGAGAGAGAGGATGGAGGATGGATGGATGGAGGATGGAGAGATGGAGATGGAGGATGGATGAGGGATGGAGGGATGGAGAGGATGGGGATGGAGGATGGAGGGAGAGGATGGAGGAGGAGAGATGGAGAGAATGGAGATGATGGATGGAGAGATGGAGGGATGGAGAGGGATGGAGAGATGGAGGATGGAGGGATGGAGAGATGGAGGGATGGAGGGATGGAGAGATGGAGGGATGGAGGGAGGGATGGAGGATGGAGGGATGGAGGATGGAGATGGAGAGAGATGGAGGATGGAGAGATGGAGGGATGGAGAGATGGAGGGATGGAGGGATAGATGGAGAGATGGAGGGATGGAGGGATGGAGGATGGAAGATGGAGGGATGGAGGGATGGAGGGATGGAGAGATGGAGGGATGGAGGGATGGAGAGATGGAGGGATGAGAGAGATGGAGGGATGGAGAGATGGAGGGATGGAGAGATGAGGAGAGATGAGGGATGGAGGGATGAGAGATGAGGATGGAGGGATGGAGGGATGGAGAGATGGAGATGGAGGGATGGAGAGATGGAGGGATGGAGGATGGAGGGATGGAGGATGGATGAGAGATGAGAGGATGGAGAGAGAGGATGAGGGATGGAGGGATGGAGAGATGGAGGGATGGGATGGAGATGGAGGATGGGAGAGATGGAGAGATGAGGGAGAGAGATGGAGGATGGAGGGATGAGGAGAGATGTGATGGAGGATGGAGGGATGGAGGATGAGGGATGAGGGATGGAGGGATGAGATGGAGGGATGGAGAGATGGAGGGATGGAGGAGATGGGAGAGGATGGAGGGATGGAGGGATGGAGGGATGGAGGGATGGATGGGATGGAGGGATGGAGAGATGGAGGATGGAGAGAGAGGATGGGATGGAGGGATGAGAGATGGAGGATGGAGATGGAGGATAGGGATGGAGGGATGGAGGATGGAGGATAGAGGGATGAGGGATGGAGAGATGGAGAGGATGGAGGATGGAGGGATGAGAGATGGAGGGATGAGAGATGGAGGATGGAGAGGAGATGGAATGGAGATGGAGGATGGAGGATGGAGATGGGATGGAGAGTGAGAGATGAGAGGATGGATGAGAGAGAGAGAGATGGAGGAGGGATGGAGGGATGGAGGATGGGATGGAGATGGAGAGATGGAGAGATGGAGGATGAGAGAATGGAGAGATGGAGGATATGGATGGAGAATGGAGGGATGGAGAGATGGAGGGATGAGAGATGAGAGGATGGATGGAGGATGGAGATGGAGAGAGAGATGGAGGGATGAGAGATGGAGAGGGATGGAGGAGATGAGATGGAGGATGGAGGATGGAGGGATGGAGGGATGGAGAGATGGAGATGGAGGAGAGGGATGGAGAGATGAGGATGGAGATGGAGAGAGGGATGAGAGATGGAGGGATGGAGGGAGAGAGAGATGGAGGGATGGATGAGGGATGGAGGGATGGAGGAGATGGAGGGATGAGAGATGATGGAGATGGAGGGATGGAGAGATGGGATGGAGAGATGGAGGAGAGATGGAGAGATGGATGAGAGAGATGGAGGGATGGAGAGATGAGGGAGAGAGATGGAGAGATGGAGGATGAGGAGATGGAGGATGGATGGAGATGGAGGGATGGAGGGATGGAGGAGATGGATGGAGGATGGAGGATGGAGGGATGGAGGATGGAGGGATGGAGAGATGGAGAGATGAGAGAGATGGGATGGAGGGATGGATGGAGGATGGAGGAGATGGAGAGATGAGAGGATGGAGAGATGGAGGGATGAGAGATGGATGGAGGATGGAGAGATGGAGAGATGGAGAGATGGAGAGATGAGGGATGGAGGGAGGGATGGAGAGAGGGATGGAGGATGGAGGGATGGAGAGATGGAGAGATGGAGGATGGAGGGATGAGAGGAGATGGAGAGAGATGAGGGATGGAGAGATGGATGAGGATGAGAGATGGGATGGAGAGATGGATGGATGGAGAGATGGAGAGATGGAGGGATGGAGGGATGGAGAGATGGAGAGGATGGATGGAGATGGAGGGATGGAGGGATGGGAGATGAGGGATGGGAGATGGAGAGATGGAGGGATGGAGAGGATGGAGAGATGGATGAGGAGATGGAGGGATGGAGGGATGGAGGATGAGATGGAGGATGGAGGGATGGAGGATGAGAGGGATGGAGGGATGGAGATGGAGGGATGGAGGAGGAGAGGATGATGGGGATGGAGATGGAGGATGATGGAGGGATGGAGAGGATGGAGAGGATGAGGATGGAGGGATGGAGAGATGAGGGATGGAGGGATGAGAGATGGAGAGATGGAGGGATGAGAGATGGAGGATGGAGGATGGAGAGATGGAGGGATGGAGGGATGGAGAGATGGAGAGATGGAGAGATGGAGGGATGAGAGATGGAGAGATGGAGGGATGGAGGGATGGAGGGATGGAGAGATGGAGAGATGAGAGAGAGGATGAGAGATGGAGGGATGAGAGATGGAGAGATGGAGAGATGGAGAGATGGGAGGATGAGAGATGAGAGATGGAGGTGGAGATGGAGAGATGGAGAGAGGGATGGAGGAGGGATGGAGGGATGGAGAGATGGAGGATGGAGAGGAGGATGGAGGGATGGAGGGATGGAGGGATGGAGAGATGGAGGATGGAGAGATGGAGGGATGGAGAGATGGAGGGATGGAGGGATGGAGGGATGAGAGGATGAGAGGATGGAGAGATGGAGGAGATGGAGGGATGAGAGGTGGAGAGATGAGGGATGAGGGATGGGGAGGGATGGAAGAGATGGGGGGATGGAGGGATGGAGGGATGGAGAGATGGAGGGATGGAGGGATGAGAGATGGAGGGATGAGAGGTGGAGATGGGGATGAGAGATGGAGGGATGGAGGATGATGAGAGGATAGATGGAGGATGAGAGGTGGAGGGATGGAGAGGATGGAGGGATGAGAGGTGGAGGGATGAGAGGTGGAGGGATGGAGAGATGGAGGGATGAGAGGTGGAGGGATGGAGAGATGGAGGGATGAAGAGGTGGAGGGATGAGAGATGAGAGGGAGGATGAGAGGTGGAGGGATGGAGAGATGGAGGATGGAGGAGGGATGAGAGATGGAGATGGAGGATGAGAGGATGAGAGGATGGAGGGGATGGAGAGATGGAGGGATGAGAGGTGGAGGATGAGAGATGGAGAGGTGGAGAGGTGGAGGATGGAGGGATGGAGATGGAGGGATGGAGGGATGGAGAGATGGAGGATGGAGAGATGGAGGATGGAGATGGAGGGATGGAGAGATGGAGGGATGGAGGGATGGAGGGATGAGAGGTGGAGGTGTGTGTGTGTTTGTGTTAAATTGAACCAGGTGAAAGTTAAAGTTTCTGTTTTATGAGGAAAAGTCAGAACATGAGACACAGTTTGTGTTTTCAGAAAACTCCTCTTTTAAAAATGTCATTGATCTATTGACTGTGACCTGACCTGTGACCTCTGACCTGTGACCTCTGACCTGTGCCCCTGTCCTGTCTGTGGTGACAGGTGCGTGGGAGTGGGAGCACCTGCAGGAGGCGCTGGAGGAGAAGCTGAAGAATCCTCTGGCCGTGGCTCAACTTCTGGAGAGAATCAGATCTCTGCTGGGGCGAGACCGGGTAATCCTCTGACCTCTGACCCCTCTGACCTCTGACCTCTGACCCTCTGACCTCTGACCTCTGACCTCTGACCTCTGACCCTGCTGACCTCTCTGACCTCTCTGACCTCTCTGACCTCTGACTCTCTGACCCTCTGACCTCTCTGACCCTCTGACCTCTGACCTCTGACCTCTGACCTCTGACCTCTGACCTCTGACCTCTGACCCCTCTGACCTCTGACCCTCTGACCTCTGACCCTCTGACCTCTCTGACCCCTCTGACTCTCTCTGACCTCTGACCCTCTGACCCTCTGACCTGCCTCTGACCTCTCTGACCCTCTGACCCTCTGACCCCTCTGACCTCTGACCTCTGACCTCTGACCCCTCTGACCCTCTGACCTCTGACCTCTGACCTCTGACCCTCTGACCTCTGACCCTCTGACCTCTGACCTCTGACCTCTGACCTCTGACCCTCTGACCTCTGACCCCTCTGACCTCTGACCTCTGACCCCTCTGACCTCTGACCCTCTGACCTCTGACCCTCTGACCCTCTGACCCCTCTGACCTCTGACCCTCTGACCTCTGACCTCTGGAGTGTTACTGTGTTATAATGTTAATGTTATAAATTATACTTATACTTATAATACTTATATATTTGTACATTTGTGTGTATTTGTGTATATATATGTGTGTATATATTTGTGTATGTACATGTATATTGTGTATATATATTTGTGTATATATATTTGTGTATATATATTTTGTATATATATTTGTGTATATATTTGTGTATATATATGTGTATATATATATTTGTATATATATTTGTGTATGTACATGTATATCTGTATATATATGTGTGTGTGTATTTGTGTGTGTGTAGAGTGTGCGGGACACGCCCAGCGCTCGTGCGGCTCAACTCGGACCCCAGACTCTCGTCAATCTGTTCAACTCCCCCCTGTACTCTGACGTCATCTTTATGGTACAAGGTACAAGTACTACAAGTACTACAAGTACTACACTAACAGTATATCTGTATCATACTCTGACGTCATCTTTATGGTACAAGGTACAAGTACTACAAGTACTACAAGTACTACACTAACAGTATATCTGTATCATACTCTGACGTCATCTTTATGGTACAAGGTACAAGTACTACAAGTACTACAAGTACTACACTAACAGTATATCTGTATCATACTCTGACGTCATCTTTATGGTACAAGGTACAAGTACTACAAGTAATACAAGTACTACACTAACAGTATATCTGTATCACACTCTGACATCATCTTTATGGTACAAGGTACAAGTACTACAAGTAATACAAGTACTACACTAACAGTATATCTGTATCATACTCTGACGTCATCTTTATGGTACAAGGTACAAGTACTACAAGTACTACAAGTACTACACTAACAGTATATCTGTATCACACTCTGACGTCATCTTTATGGTACAAGGTACAAGTACTACAAGTACTACAAGTACTACACTAACAGTATATCTGTATCATACTCTGACGTCATCTTTATGGTACAAGGTACAAGTACTACAAGTAATACAAGTACTACACTAACAGTATATCTGTATCACACTCTGACGTCATCTTTATGGTACAAGTACTATGAATACTATAAATACTGACAATACTACTAATACTACAAATCCTGCAGTACTAATGTACCGTACCAGTACTTCAACATCTGCTACTACTGCAGTAATACCACATACACCACTACCAGTACTACAATACACAAATACACAAACGCACAAATACACAACTACTACAACTACACAAACACACATTATGTAACGTCCTGCGTCATTTTCTCGTGTTTCTGTTTCATCAGTTTAAAGTGATTTTTAAAAAGTCGATGTTGTTTTGTTTTTGTCGATTCAAACTTTCAGAAGTGTATAAATCATAATCACATGTTTTGTGTAACTCTGTGTCGTCGTTCACAAGTGTAAACATGTGTGTGGTGTTGCGCCCCCTGCAGGCAGCGTGCTCCCGGCGCACAGGGCCGTGCTCGTCGCTCGCTGTGACGTCATGGCGGCCATGTTTAGCGGTAAATACGCGGAGGCGCGCAGCCGCGTGGTGCCCATCCACGGCGTCTCCTCCGACACCTTCCTGTCCTTCCTGGAGTATCTCTACACTGACTCCTGCTGCCCAGGTCAGGAACTGCACTGCCCAACTTTTCAGACGGGGGGGGGTTATTGTTCTGCCAGAATGTTCTACAGTTCATCACCAACGTCACAGCTCATGTCATCATCTTAACAATAATAATAATAATAATAATAATAATAATAAAAAAAAAAAAATAAATAAATAAATAAAAAATAAATAATACATTTGATTTATTTATATTGTCCTTTCGGGACACTCAGAGTCGCCACGACAACAAACAAATATTAGTACAGTCAAAAATATCACCGTATTAACAAGTTAACGCAAAACAATTTTAACTGTGTTAATTTTTTTTATCACAAGATTAAAAGATAAATGTTCTTTGTTTCACATAATCTGTTCATTCATAATCTGCCTCCTCTGATGTAACGTCAGAAAAAACACTGTAAACAAGAACAAAACAATTTGTACAAAACTGAGAAGCTCCGACTGAAGCACAGAGCTCATGTACACGTGTACATGTACACGCACATGCTCATGTACACGTGCGCGCGCACATGCTCATGTACACACGTGCGCACATGCTCATGTACACATGCGCGCGCACATGCTCATGTACACGTGCGCACGCACATGCTCATGTACACATGCGCACGCGCCCACGTACGCGCCGACTGTAGGCACTGCTCTGTCTGACGCTCTGGGGCCACAGTTACACTTGAACAGTTTTAACGATCTGATTTCTCTGAACTCCAACAGGTGAACTGATCCGTCCTGCTCACATCACACGACAGCCACAAACTAGCATTAGCGTTAGCATTAAAATTAGCGTTAGCATTAGCATTAGCATTAGCATTAGCCCACAGTTTTTCGGTGAGTTTCTCTTTTTCTTTTAGAGTCAAATTAATCTCTTAAACAGGAGCGTGACACTCGCACTGACACAGGGAAACGTTCTCTTTCCAGCGTGACTTTTCAGACGTACATCTTAAAACTCTGTGTGCAGCATGTGTGCATGGTGTCACCACGGTAACAGCTGAACATCCCACCATAGACAAATATGAAGAACTCCCTCGGCGCGATGTCACTGCGTCAGTATTAACACCAAAAGCAAAACACAAAACGTACATTAAAACATTTACATCCTTCATAAAGTTTTTAAATAAAGTGAATAAACGAGCGTCACTGTGTTTGTGAGGAAACAGTTTTATTTGGACAGAAGTAACAGGACGTGTTTGTGAAATATTCTCTTTAAACTGAAGCTGAAAACACGAGCGTAAAACAGAGTTTACTCGACGAAGACGAACTTCAACTTAAACTGTGTTTGGGAAAAACCGACGTGCGCCTCAGGAGAACGACGCGGTGCAGGTCTGAGCCGCAGGGAGTTAAGAGTCGCTGATGCTGAGGTCACATGACGGCGTGAAAGTCGCTGTAAACTCGTCTCACAGTGAAGTTTGTGGGTTTGTGTTGGACCGAGACGGTTCTACCAAAGTCTCAGAGGAGCAAAGACGAGAGTGTTTCTGAGCGTCTGAGGGTCTGGTTTAGTTTTGTCCATTTATAAATGTTTTCTTCAGCTGAGAGTTTTACTCTGGGAGTTTCTACATCAGGTTCTATGTTCCTGAGCAGAACATTTTGCTCTTAAACTGTAGTAAACATTAAGTTTGAATTCAACACAGTGAGATCATTGTTCACAGAACTTTTACATTTGAGCACAGACATTATTTTGCAGAAAATCTCATTTTTAAAACCTCTGACGTCGACTCTCAGACGCGCTGAGGAAGTGTTGGAGCAGCTCAGACTCGTGTCCCCCACAGTGTTTCAGTGTTTCAGTGTTTCAGTGTTTAAGCACCACTGATAAAAATGTGTGAACTTTCAGTGAAGTTTGCTGCAGGTCAATGAGTCTGAAGTGTCTGACTCAAATGCAAAAGCTCCAGCGAGAGGCGTTTGGCTCCATCGAGCTGCATAAATCTGTGGGGCGTAGAACATCACTCAGTGTAAATCCAGCGTTAGAGCCCAGGACAAATTTATCTTTGGGACAAATGAGTTGAACCATCGAGAGTGAAGACTTCATGAAGTTATTAGATCTGCAGCAGACGTGCTGGTGTCAGATTTCACAGAGCAGCGACAGCAGGTCCTCCTCCGTCAGCAGATCCTCCAGCCCAGTCAGAGCTCTTTCACAGGTCTGCAGCGCCTCCAGGGGGCGCTGTGCCGAGGCCAGATCCTGGAGACGCACCTGCAGCAGGAGCAGCTGCCTGGGCTCCCGCCCCAGGGCCCCGTACACGCGCCTCAGGCCTGACAGCGCCTGCCCCACCGGTCTGAACAGCTGAATGAACTCTCTGTACGCCTGCAGGAGCTCCGCCTCCACGCTCAGCCCCGCCCCCGCACCTGCCGCCAGCCCCGCCCCGCCCTCAGCCCCGCCCCCGCACCTGCCCTCAGCCCGCCCCCGCACCTGCTCCGCTTTGCTGATTGGTTGTTCTCTTCACCTCACCGGAGAAGACGGTCATGCTGAACGGGGTAAAGACCATCCCCCTCGCACTGGCCTCCAGGGTCGCTTGGTCATTCCCGCTCCTCTGCCCACACTGCAGCGCCCCCTCCTGACCGCTCTCTAGCGCCCTCTGCTGGTTGATCTCTAGCGCCCTCTGCTGGTTGATCTCTAGCGCCCTCTGCTGGTTGATCTCGTGGCCGGCGCGTCTCATTCTCTCCATCAGGATGTACATTTGGCCCTTGTTGGACTCGCAGATTCGGAGGAAGTTCTGGATGGGCATCTGGAGTAATCTGCGCTGGTCGCCGCTCAGCCTCGACTCCATGTTTCTGCTTCTGTCAAACGGAGAAAAATGATTTTAAAAAGATGTTTTTCAGACTCTAAAAATCAGGAACAGAGAAGAGACAGTTTGTTTCCACCAGGCGACAGAGAACAGACGAACAGAAGAAAGAAACACAGCGACTCTTTGACTTTTATCTCCTCCACAGCTCCTCAATTTGATTCAAACACGGATTAAAACACAACGAAACATCCACAACTGAACGATTCTCAAACATTGTCATGAAAACATTTCCTCAAACTCTTTTTAAACGACGCCTCTGAACCCAGACGTGAAAACTGCTCCGGAATTTCCCGTCTCCGTATCGACGCAAAACTGAGCCTCTGCACGTGACACGTTTTGGATGAAATGATGACGAGTTTTGTATCTGTGAATCTCTGCCGGGTCACAACAAGCACAAACGCCACAACAAATACAAATGCCACAACACAACAAAAAGCCACAACAAACCAAAAAAAGCCACAAAAACCCCAAAAAAGCCACAACACATTAAAAAGCCACAACACACCAAAAAAAGCCACAACACATTAAAAAAGCCACAACAAACCCAAAAAAGCCACAACACACCAAAAAAGCCACAACAAACCAAACAGCCAAAAAAAAAAAAAAAAGTCACAACACATTAAAAAGCCACAACAAACAAAAAGCCAAAAAAAAAAAAAAAAGTCACAACACATTCAAAAGCCACAACAAAAAAAAAAAGCCACAACACATTAAAAAGCCACAACGGAAGTAACCGCGACTCTATTTTCCGACGGAAAAAAGAAAAGTGAAGAAGAAAAGGAACGGAGAAGTTGGAAATGTAAGTAAAAGTAATTTATTGTTTTATCATTATTTGTTTTACGTTGTCGTTCTTCTTCTTCACTTGCCGCTCGATCGGTCCGTCGGGAAATAGTGTCCCGCGGTCACTTCCGTTGTGGCTTTTTAATGTGTTGTGGCTTTTTTTGGGTTGTTGTGGCATTTTTTTGGTGTGTTGTGGCTTTTTAATATGTTGTGGCTTTTTAATGTGTCGTGGCTTTTTAATGTGTCGTGGCTTTTTAATGTGTTGTGGCTTTTTAATATGTTGTGGCTTTTTAATGTGTCGTGGCTTTTTAATGTGTTGTGGCATTTGCGTTTGTGTTGTGGCATTTGTATTTGTTGCGGCGTTTGCATTAAAATAGAGTCCCGCAGTCATTTCCGTTGTGGCTTTTTTTGGTGTGTTGTGGCTTTTTTTGTCGTGTTGTGGCTTTTGTATTCGTTGCGGCGTTTGCGTTTGTTGCGACCCCTCTCGGCTTAAATCATCTGAGCGACACGACACAGAAACATCAGCAGACGAAGAGGAGGAGGAGCAGGGAACAGAAGGAAAACAAACTCTCAGGCTGAAAAAAGAACGTAACAACAGAAATAAATTATCGGAAGACCAAATAAAAATATTGGACTATTGCAGTACAGATCTCAAATAACTAACTAAATAACTAACTAACTAAATAAATAAACTGTTACAAAACTCTAACCGTGACTCTTTGTCTGCACTTTAGTTCATTTAGTTTAACGTCAAATGTCTGAAAAATGCAAAATGAAACTTTTTGTGTCTGATTAGAAGAGGAAGTGGGATTAAATAAGTTCTTTTCTTCTCACCGCTTTTTGGGCAAATGTTTTAATTGTGGTTATTTTTATTTCTATTATGATTTCACTAATGTAAACAAATCTAAATCTCCACATAAAAAATTAAATGAAAAAAATGCCTGGAAAAAAAAAAAAGTGCATTCAGACTGCGAGTGAGGCCGCCTCTCCGCAGACCTCACCTGTCAAAGTTTGTTTCTAACGCCAAAGCAATAACATCTCCATGGAGACGAGCGACGGCTGGACCCTGGAGGAGTAAAGTTCCACAGTGCAACTTTAAAGTCTGTTTCCCTCGTGAGAGAAAAAAAGAACACGACTCACCTGTGCGTCCTGGAGGTGCACTGAGCGCGCTCACTCTGCTCCTGCTCATATTCTACCTGACCACGGCCCCGCCCCTGACCACGCCCCCTCCCCTGACCACGCTCCTCACGTGATGTTTTTTTCCCGCGCCTGCAGAGTCGCGTCATGTGCTCGTGACTCAGAGTTTGTGGCAGAAGCGTTGGAAACAGCTCCAGTCACATTCCGGCAGTTTTAGTGAACAATGAGGAGTTTTCATGTGACTTTTATCTTGCAGCGTTCCCACGGCAACGTCACCATCAGGAGACATGTGACTGGAAATGTCCCG